AAATAGATCCACCCCTGAACGATGATAGTAGCTTCGAGTTGGATGACCAAACCTCTCCAAATGGCCACACAGGTAAAAATACGTTTGCAGATTTGGAAGAAGGGAGCTGGGTTGCAGTAAACTATGGCGGAAATCTTTTTCCTGGGATCGTCATAAACCATGTGAAAAAACAAGTAACGGTAAAATGCATGGAAAAATGCCAAAAATATTTTCGTTGGCCAAAAACGGACGATATAATGACTTACGAGCAAGAAGACATTCATATGCAAATTAATACACCAAAAATACTGAGACGTGGTTTTTTTGATGTTCCGGAACTGGCTACATATGCAACCCCAAATATTTTAATTTGATCAATTATTACCTGAATTAGACTGTTAACTATGTTTTTATCAAACGTGAAAGTGAACTTGAGAGCAAATAAAATGAAAATGCACGAAATGTTTAATGAAATTTACCAAAAGAACAATACCACGAAGGGCGTTGGATTATTTCCGACAGGTGTTAGAGCAGGAATCTTCACAGAAGTATTTCCTGCATATGCAGTTGGCGATACAACTGCTGGAATCGATTTTCAGTTATAGGAACGGGCACACTTGAAGAATGGTTTATGGCTATTTGGTCTCTCGTCAGTGTAAGGTAGTCATCATTTACCTAAAGTTGATGATATTCCATAATCAAAAATTGAATTATTCCTTTCGGAATAACATTCCTCTAACCAAGCTGAAGCGACGACAAATAATAAATTTATCATCGCTCCATCTGGTAAACAAGGTACTAACTAACCGCATATCCAAAATTCGCGCAATTTCTCGTATAAGGAAAAAAACCTTCACATATATTCAGTGGGCATACTTGAAGACTGTCTGTAAATCAAATCAACCCAAAGAATAATTTTTTCAGGCCAGTCTCGACTTACCTACACTGTTGGATATCATCCAATGCCCTTCGTGGTATTAGCTAGAGGAGTAGTTGTTTTTTGATAGGTGTCAGTCTATTAACCTATAGTGTAGGTAAGTCGAGACTGGCCTGAACAAATTGTTCTTTTGGTTAATTTGATTTACAGTTGGTCTTCAAGTATGCCCACTGAATATATGTGAATGTTTAATGAACATTAAACTAAAATCCTTTTCTCCTAGCCTTCAAACTGATAAATAAAATATTGATGATTTTGGGAAAGAACACGACTGACTGGAGTCAGTATCGTGACTCCTGAAAATGCTATTGTGCTATTGTGTCGCGGGTTTGTAAACTGTCAAGTGGAAATCTCACATTAAAGTGTTTTTTCAGTACGTTATAATGGATTTTTATATCAAGTATCAGTCAGTTCTATTATATTTTCACGGCGGATGAAATGATACCATCAACAAACAATTTTGATTAATTTCAAATTTTGTAAAAACTATAGTTCGTAAGTCTAAAAGAATGAACGAACACAGTTTTTCAGTTTGGGTGTAGCCCCCCTCCCCACCGTTGGTCGGCCTTGTGAGTGCAAGGATTTCAGATGACGATAATCGTATTTATAAATCATTCGTTTAATTTTCTGATTGCCTACGGGCTGTGGCGCCTCCGGGATATACTATAGGTCGTCTCCTTCGGCCCTTCCTCCTAGCTGACCAGACCGACCCTGTCTTAAAAAATTACTGACAGATATTAAACGTCAAAAACACGAAACATACAGAAGCTCACTCTTCAAACTAGGAGTTCGAATGAAACGATTTGCAATGAACAGTATTGCCAAGAAATCCAAATAAGTTCACTCAGCGATGTTTATTGTGTATTTTTATTCGATTAATTATGAACAATGATTAAATAATTCTCAGCTGAGTGCTTTATGGCTTCTGTCCTTACCTTATTCTGATAGCCGTAACCGTATACTGTCAAAATTGTCAAACATATGCCAAATGCCAGTCTCGTAAAATTATTATTTTTATGTTCTGAGCTCCAACTGTTCAATTATTATGCAAGTTTATTATTGCTGGTACTTATAACTAACTCCAATTGTGTTGTTAATGAAATCTGATTTATTTCAATGAAGCGTCCTGTTATGCTCCTTATGTTCAAATAAAAGATGTGACTGCCGACCCATGTCAGGGTTACATTCAAGCAATCCCCGGCTGAGGTTGAGGAACTGCTCCACTTAGTAATAGTTTACTTTTGTTTAACAGAATAAAATAAACATGCCTGGACCAGCGATCTCGACAATTCTAGAGACTGAAACAGGTACTGTTATGATTCATTGCAATAACAAAGTGTGTCAGAATCTGGAACATAATATAAACATTTTTTTGCAGAATGTCGTAGTGTAACAGATAGCATAGGCTCGCATTCTGATTTATCAGTCAACACTTTGCAAAGCAGCAACACCATGACGAAGACCCAGATGGACGTGGTTTGTGTTATTGATGTTTGTCAGACAGATAATTTGATTCAGCGTAGAAAGGCTTTGGAAGAAGTTCAACAGGCTTGTTTATTGATAGGAGCAAATCTCAGTCATGTGCAGGTATAAGTTGTTTTGAAGAATTTATCATTTTATATTTTGTTGTAACTCATACTCATATTATATTTTTGTATGCTGATCACAAAGTAATACATATATAATGAAAGTGTAACTGATCACTGTCTGTACATGGAACAAAAACTATTATTGGCAGTCTTTATTAATATATATTCCAAGAATATTCTATGAATATTTGGAATATATACGTTCGTTTTATGATATACAGAGAATATTCCATGAATATCTAGTGCTGTGTGGGTTTACATGTTTAGAAGTATCTTGTTTATTGATCCTGTTTTTCCGTTTGAGATAAACAGGTGGATTTCTTTTAACGGTTGTAGGATGGCGGGCAAAGTGAATCACAGGTGTTGCGGGCAAATTGAAATATTTGTCAAAGTGAAGTGGTTGTTTTTTTGCATGATACGAACAGAAAAAGATTTGGTTTACGGATTTTGATAAGCTAGAGCTTTGGCCTTCAATAAGGTTAATGTTGATAAGTTTTTCGACTCCGAATCGCATATATAATTACGACGAGACAGGAATTACCACGGTTCCAAATAAGCCTTCCAAAGTTATATCGAAAAAAGGAAAAAAACAGGTGGAAGTTTTCTCCTCAGCAGAGAGAGGCACCCTGGTTACCGCCGAAATTTGTTTCAATGCGGCCGAAGAATATATTCCTCCAGCTTTGGTATTTCCAAAGCTGGAGGGTTTCGACACAATGTGACATTTGAAAACGGAGTTCCCCAAATACAAAAGTGTTCACCCATCCAACAGGTTGGATGCAGACCAACATATTTCCTGAGTGGTTTGAACATTTTCTGGAATTTGCAAAGCCAACAGCTGAAGACCGCGTCCTCCTCATTTTAGATGGCCACTCTACTCACATAAAAAACCTTGATATGTTAACTGTTGCCAAAGAAAATTCTGTTGATATCCTTGTTTTACCTCCACATTGCACACATCGGTTACAGTCACTTGATGTCTCCTTTATGTATCCGATTTCCACTGTTTATCAACAAGCAGTAGGAGTGTGGCTGCGAGAACACCCCGGAAAAATTGTTACTATTCACGAAATTGGAGCCCTATTTGGAGAAGCCTACTCAAAGGCAGTCACAATGGAAACGGCTATTTCCGGATTCAAAAAAACGGGCATCTATCCCTTTCAAAGAATTTTCAACGCCAGCTCTTTTGCTGCAGCTGAAACAACCAATCGTTTGGCACCTCCTGAAACAAGTGAAGATCAAAGGTCATATGCCGTACAAGAAAAACCACAAACACCTTCAAATGTGAGTCTGGAAGGTGCTGTTCTTATGTCTCCTCATGATATACTTCAAATTCCTCACGTTTAGTAGATGACATGCATAAAAGAAAGAAACGTCACGGATCCACAGTAGCTGCGACCTCAACCCCTTTTATGGAGGAGCTCAAAATAGCCAAGCAACCAAAGCAACCACAGAAACAAAAAAAACAATATTGATAGTGATAGTGAAAGTAGTGAAATAGATCCACCCCTGAACGATGATAGTAGCTTCGAGTTGGATGACCAAACCTCTCCAAATGGCCACACAGGTGAAAATACGTTTGCAGATTTGGAAGAAGGGAGCTGGGTTGCAGTAAACTATGGCGGAAATCTTTTTCCTGGGATCGTTATAAACCATNAAAGGTGAAGTGGCCTGCGATTCCTTTATATTTGCTATAATTAAGTTGGATTCTCTTCTTTGTCTCTCCATCAGCTCCACAATGATACTTTCCTGAGAGCCAGTTTCCTCCGTCTTGACTTTTTTCAGCTGGTCGATTTCGTTCTCGAGTACATTAAGTTCTGATTTGAGGTCGATATTTTCCACTCTTAGGTCACTAACTTCTGATTTCAGAGTAGCAACTTCTGCTGTGAGGGCGGCGAATTCAGCTTTGAAACTTCTAATTTCTCTTACGAGTAGTGGTACACTCTTGAAGGATACGCGGCATTCTTGACAAAAATAATGTAGGGTTCTTTTGATAAGAACCACTGCACGAAGTTCAGACGAACTCAAACCCGTACATACTTCTGATGGATGTTGCGTGATGTGACAGCTGTCACAAGTGACAGTTTTATCACCTAGATCCTGCTCACATAATGCACAAATATCGGTCATTCTGATATCGATCAAAATGGTGTTTAACCCTCTGACTATAGGATAGCTATTTGTTACCAGTTTTTTCTTCACTTGCTGATAAGGTTTTTCCAAACAGTTTGTGCAAATGTAAAATCTCCAAAATGTAGGTGCAAACACAGATTTGACATGAAAAACTAAAAATACATTTAACAGGTTCTGCTCCCAGTTCACGATTTTCCAACACACCAAAATATCAGTATTTTTATACGGTCTTTACTCTGGTTATTTCTAATTAAACGGAGCTGTCCTGTTTCACGTGCACACACACTCTCTACTCTTTCTGCAAAAACAAATTCATCGATTTCACAACCAAATTTTTCATGTAGTAATCATATCATTGTTTTCAGCCAGTATATCAGCTGTCACAAGTGGAATTTGCTTCGCGTGGTCATCACCATTCGTCCTGAAGATTTCGAAAGACAAAGGAAACTACGATATCACTGAAGAGCAAGCATCGAAGTTTACGATACTCCCTTTCATCGTTGTTATAGTAACCTGTCCAATCATCAGCAAGCTAGGCGATGTTTTTGGAAGAAAACGCATGTTGCTCATGACATCATTCATCGATGCAGCAGTTTGGATCCTGAAAGCTACAGCAAGGAATGTGTATGTTTTCTATTTCTCCAGGATTCTGGTGGGTTTATCAGAAGCCATTTTGTTCACCACGTTGCCCACGTATCTCGGAGAGGTTTCATCACCGAAAGTAAGGGGAACATGGGGAAACTCAATGACAGTTTCCTTCCTTCTTGGGGAACTACTGGCAACCGTGGTCGGAAGCTACTTCAGCGTATGGGAAACAAGCTACATTTTCCTTCCTTTACCAGTTATATTTTTCATTCTATTCTCTTACATGCCAGAGTCACCCCACTTCTATATAATGAAAAGAAGATATGACGAAGCAAGGAATTCCCTGCGAAAACTTAATGGGAAGAAAGACGTCTCTGAAGAATTTCAGTCTCTGAAATGTGATGTTGAACGACAGATGTCAGAAGAAGGAACGTGGAAAGAAACATTCATGATAGACAGTAACAGAAAATCTCTTGCTGCTGCACTGTTTCTCAAGATATCCCATGTTTTTGGAGGATCACACGCGTTTGTCACTTTCACTCAGTACATATTCGATAAATCCGAAGGAACTTTCACGACAGAAGTTTCCTCGATTATTTTTATCAGTTTGGGGGTTTTATTGAGCGTCTTCGCCAGTCTTGCTGCCAAATGGCTCAGCAGAAGAAAGGCATATATTGGATCATTATTTCCGTGCGGTATAGTTCTGCTCATTGAGGCGGCATACTTTTTCGTCTACCAGCACCGACCAGACATAAATGTTGATTCCTTTCACTGGATTCCTATAGTTGGAATGATACTCTATTCTATATTCAGCTCTTATGGCATCAACTTGTTGCCCACTCTGATGATGGGGGAGTTGTTTTCCACCAGTTTTCGGGTAAAAGCTTTCATCATTGTGGAATTAGTTATTTCAATGGGGTCATGCATTGCTAATGCCCTATTTTATTTCCTCAGTTCCAACTATGGACTTTACGCTCCATTACTATTCTTTGGATTATGTGATATAGTCTCAACGGTTTTGTGCTATTTCATTCTACCTGAAACCAAAGACAAAACTTTAGAAGAAATTCAGCAGCTAATGAAAGGAAATAGATCAGGAAACAATTTGAAGGAAAGTGAAAATTTGATGAGCGTATAAAATGAATGACTGTTCTAAATTGAAGAACACGAAGAAGTTTGGAAATAACTAACTCAGTTTTATAAAAAAAGTCATATTGTATTCCCAAGTATGAGGTTACTTCACACTCTACTGACTATTTATGTTGCATTTCTGCATTGTTTTTCCGGATGCGATACAACATCTGGATTTGCTGCAAAAGGAAAGAAAAGTATCGTAAATTCATTATTAGACGCTGAAAATGTGTCAAATTTGGCCAATGTTTTCATAAGAGAAATTCAAGTAAAGAAGATATGAAAAAAATGGATTACAATTAATTGAATCTATTTATAAATGTAAAAATGAAAAAATAACACTAAATCAATTGAGATTTTAAAAATTTCAATTGGCAAAAATTAAATCACCTTTCATTTTGGCAAACCTCACACCCACAAAAGGAGCAGCAGAACAACATTATTACCTACATCCATACTCGTATTATCAGCTTCAAACTTGGTAATGAATTGACAGCAACAGATTGGGACTGGAAACAACATCAACGTGGCATTATGGATGAAACTGGATGTAGGACTAGACTGTCAAATAAAGGAAGGTGACAAAAGGAAGGTACAAAGTATTTAGGAATCATTGTCGATCGACATATGAAGTAGAATATTTCAAATATTTGAAGGATTTCTTGAACATTAACCAGTTGAAAACTGTTTATTCTTCCTTGATAGAGTCCTTACTATCCTATGGGATTTTGGGCTGGGGCGGGGTCAATGATTGATTCTTGAATCAAGTACAGGTTTTGCAGAGATGGGTTCTGAAAATTATGTATGGCAAAAAGCTGACATTTTCTTCTGACGCACTCTGTAATGAATCTCAGTGTAGAGATGTGAGACAAATATTTGTTAATATAATTAATTTTACTTTATGTCAAAGCTAATAGAATTCAACTATATCTATAAATCTGTTGATAAGTTATTCAAAAAGAAATTAAAAAGTGGATTGTCAGTAATAGACCCATAATCAATACAATTTTCAATCAAAAACTATAAAAAAAACTGAATTACACCTATTACAACTGATTATTATATGTCGTGTTAACCAGTATTAAACGACGTTACCCCGAAAATGTAAAATTAACCGGATTGTGACTTAAATATAACTGATTTGAGAAAAAACCTCAAAATTAGAATGTGATTAATAGTTGTTTTGATACAAAGATACGTAGGTGTTAGATATTAAATTTTTTTATCGATTATGTCAATTGTACTCTCATATTAAACTTATTTTGTTACTGCCTTCATATACACATATACAAGTAGCTTTTGCAGCTACTTCTGTGTTTTTTTCGTGTTTATTCACCACTTCCCCTTATTTAATGAGTTACTGTATTTTTTAAATGAACTTTTTCATGTAATTATATGTACTGTGAATAAACCTTATTTTTATTATTAACAGTTCAAAATGTGGCTATCGAAAACATGGTTTAAAATGCACAAATTTATGCTCAAATTGTCATGGTTCTGAAAATTGCTCCAATATGGAAGAAAAAACCTACGAGGAAGTTGATGATTCAGATGAAATTGTGGATGAAGAACCAATGCAGTCTGAAAATAATATTGGAGACGAAGAATATGATGGTTTTGAAGATTTCGTAATCAGAATGAAGTATCTAAATTCAATAATACGATTTACATGTATATTTATATTTTATGAGATTTTCTATGACATGAATGTAATTAGAATTCAATAAATGAACTTTTCAACTGAATAAAATTGCAGCAATCACATTTTTCTCATGAAATTGTACATAATGATTAAAAAAAAACTCTAATTCGAGTTTTTTTCGATGTTTTGCATTTTCTGAGAACATTTATTTAAAAAAATGCATATTTTTTCACACTATCAGGAAGTAGATATTGCAACAAACAAAAAGCATACCGACTTTTTGAAAAAAGCTGAAATTTTGACGCAAAAATTTTTGATTGAAAATTAGGGTGCTTGTTTGATATTAAGTCAAAATAAGGTGAAAAACTAAATATGTTATATCAAATGAATCACAGTATATCAAGTCAAAATAAGGTGAAAAAAATATATATTTCAAATCAAATTAATCACAGTGTATATGGGACATGAAAAGGTAAGTTTCACCAAATTTCGTAGAAAAAAATGTTTTGAAGAAGATAAAAATAAAAAACCAAAAACTAGGTTGTTTGACCTTTTCACATGAATATTCAGGTTATGTGAAAAAATTATGAATACAAAAGTTGTAAATCTTTTTATTATCCACAACTTTGCCATTCAACTTTTTCCATAGGACTTGTAGTTTTGCCGGAAATCGAGATAAACCAATTTTTACCCTTAAAAAAACGCAGGTCGGTTCTCGATTTTTTATGGAAACTCAATAATTATAATTGTTGAAAATGGTTACCAAATTGAAAGATCTCATTCGGACGCCATCTACAGAAATTTCGAAAAATACTGAACCCCTTTCAACATTTGTCACAGCAGACCATCTGCCACTGTATAAAGAAATCAAAGTGTTGGTGTTCTGAAATTGTCTGTCATTTCCGAAGGTTGCTTCACTAGGAAAAATAACAAAATAAGGGTCTTTCTCTAGGGGGATGAATGCACAAAACTCTGCAACTTCTGATCGAAATCCCATTTCCAGAAAACATGGAAGAAACTTAAGGCTGTTGTTTCACACTCCTCCACTTAGATTCCTATAATTCTTGGGATCTGGGACCTATGTTTCACAGTGCAGCCAGACACGTCTAAGGCGGTTCTTATACTTTGATATTTTTGTGCTTGTATGCTCTTTATGCTTTTACGCTTTTAATGATTTTGTGATCTTATGATTTTTTCTGGTAGAACTATAATACCAAAAAACTGTTGTAGAAAAATGCCGATCATTCTGCGATTAGTTAAAATAAACAATTTCAAAACATATAGAATCGGTATCGGTTCGAAGATCAGGCAATGATACCACCTGTTCTCTTAGTTCCTTCAGATACTAACATTGGCACTAAAATAGCTGAAAAAAATTGAGTACTCAAATCTACTTGACAATTTCCTTGTTGACATCCACGTAAATGCATCTGTTTTCTGGACCTGTAACTGTAAATGAAATAATCATACTTATATCCAAGCTTAAGAATAAGTGCTCTCCAGGTCCAGACGGACTTATTACAGAAATTCTATAGTTACACCTATCTTCAAATCTCCAGATCTAAAAAAAAATTAGGTATCATAGACATATATCTGTTATATCTAATTCAGCTAAAATCTTTGAATATTGCATCAAAGTACCCTATTAACATTTATCAGGGAGCATCATGTTATAACAGAACGTCAATATGAGTTCATACAGAATTCTAATACTGAAAATGTTATCTTAGATCTAACAAATTAAATAATAACGTTTCTTGATAAATCATCTGAGTCTTTAGCGATTTTTCTGGACTTGGCCACAGAATTTGACACTGTCTCTCATGATGCACTGTTGAAAGCACTTTAAAGATACGGTATTAGGGGGAGATCACTACAACTTCTTCAAAACTATCTCAGTGGTAGAACCCAACAAGTTAAAATCGGTAAAAACCAATGTTCACCCTCAATCCTATCTATTGGTGTGCCTCAAGATACAGTTCTGGGTCCAATACTGTTCCTTGTATATATAAACAATATTTGCCGCATTAATAATTTTCTAGGTCATATCGTATGTTATGCCGATGATACCGCATTAATTTTCAAAGGCAACACCTGGAATGAAACTATTTCCACAGCTGAGCAAGATTTGAGGAAAATTGGATTATGGCTAAATTACAAATTGAGTATAAATATACAAAAAACAAAATTCATCACCTTTGAAAATGAACAAAAAATTATAAAATTTGAGAAAGTTGAGAATCAAAAACAATATATTGAAAAATATTTCGAACCAAATTACTTCACGACGTTTCGATTGTTAGTATCCACAATAATCTTCAGGTGATGACATAGTAGACAATGACATTGTAGACCACTTTCAACCAAACGTTCATACTTTACGTTAATCACAATGCGGACACAATGTGTCCCCAAAGTATGCAATAAATTCGATATTTCCAAAATCAAATCTGAAACACGTCGATTTTCAATTTCAATATTCTACATTTTACAATTAAATTTCATCACACAGGGTGATCCATATTAATGTGATGACGTCTTCGGTAATTTTTTAAAATGCAACACCCTGTATTTGGTGTCAGTTTTAGATAATCCGTAACGAGCTGATTCCGAAAAGGTATGATACTTGGGGTCTAACGGACAGAATTTGAAAGATGTACGCTTAGAAAATAAATTTTATTGATATCTAATAAAAGTAGAAATTAATTAATTATTTTATATTTTTTTCTAATGATTAATTTAACAATGGGAAGGTAATCCAGTAATGAACACATGACTTTATTATAAATGTTCGAACTGTGGTTCTTGCTGTATTTGACAGTAACCTAAACGTTGAATAAATTCTTGTTGAACTTTGTTTATTGTTTTTGAGAAATATTGTTTATTTGTAAGCCATGTCGGGAAAGTTTTTGAAAAAATTCTAAAAATAAGAATAGAGAAATACATAAAAAATATCATATACTCTCGGATAATCAGTATGGATTTCGCCAAGCCAAGTCATCACAAGATGCAATGGTTCATTTGACAAAAAAAAATTATGAAGAGATGACGTAGGAGAAACCTCATTATATGTCTTCTTTGACTTGGCAAAGACATTCGACACAGTGTGTCACCACAAATTACTAAGAGTATTAGAAAATATAGGTTTCAGAGGTGAACCATTGAAACTTCCCACTCTTACATTCCAACGTGTTAGGAATCACACGTTAAAAGGTAAGACCTCGTTAGTCCTTAGATCGCACAAGTATCTCAACTTCTGAGAGTTGTGGTTCATATGGGGGCGAAAGCTGATCAACGGAAAAATATATTTTTTTATTTTTTTTAGTTACTCATCGAAAACAGAAAACAGAGAGCAAAAATTAATAGTTCATTTAGTTCAGATCAAGTAATTGAGTGTGGAGTGCCCCAAGGAACGGTGCTTGGACCTATTCTATTCAATATTCATATCACTAACCTCTACAATATTGATGTGGAAGCAAAAATGATCAGCTTTGCCGACCACACCGCCCTTCTATTTCGTGGCAAGAATTGGAACATTCTGAAATTTATCGCTGATAAGGAATTGGAAACTTTATTTCATTGGTTCGACAGTAGGCTTTTAACAGTGAACTTTTCTAAAACCCACTTTATTGCCTTTTCAATTTATAACAACAACTTACCCACATATAGTAAAATTACAGTTAATATAAACGGCAATATCATTGACATTGAAAGGAGAGAACATATAAAATATGTAGGCCTCATTATAGACCAAAATCTTAGATTACACAAACACGCTGAATACGTAACAAAAAATTGAGACAATTGATAATGAAATTCAAACTGTATAAAAAATTATTCGACTCGACACAAATGAACATATTTCATGCAAGCCTAGCCTAAACTCATATAAACTATGGCACACTTGTTTGGGGTGGAATAACTAATAATTATATGAGAAACCTAGAAGTGAAACAAAAATGGCTGATGAAGATAATGTATAAGAAAATTCTCCGTGTTCTTTTCAACAGAAAAGAAGAAGCGGTGAACCTCAATCGAATATAATAATAATAATAATGAAATTCGGGATAGACAAATGGCAATGGTCCATCTCAAAAGAGGACGATGCGGGGACTACGGAGAGGATGTGCAGCTCTAGATGGGAGTATCCTACACCATCTGGATGCCGGAGAGACGTATACTTACCTCGGGGTGGAACAACGCCACTCACAAGAGGTAACAGCAGTGAAAAACCCTCTCCGCGGCAAGTATCAGCACAAACTTCGACAGATCTGGTCATCGAAACTGTCGGGGAAGAACAAAGTTGCTGTAACAAAAATGCTTGCCGTACCAATCTTACTCTACTCGTTTGGAGTAGTGGAGTGGACTCGGGAGGAGCTGTATCAACTCGACGTGGAAACCCGAAAAATGATGCATCTCTATAGGGGTGTGCATCCCAAATCGTCTGTTACACGGTTGTACTTCCCCCGACAACAGGAAGGCCGTGGACTTTTGAGTTTGGAGTGTCTACATGACAGAATGGTGCTGGATGCAGCCTGTAAAGTCGTCAGGAGTTCGGATCCCCTTCTCTGCATGATCCGTGACCATGAGAGAGCAGGAATCAGAGCATTTCTCTTTAGGGCAGCTGCTCGAGCAGCTGATGAACTCGGTATAGTTTTCGACTCTGAACGAGGTGACTACAACTCTGTCACCGAGTTGGAACCCGTTCAGCAAAAAGCTCAGATAAAAGCCGCAGAGATCACCTTACTTCTGCGGAGACACAAGGATGAGCCAATGCATGGGATCTTCTTCAATAGCATTGGAGACCTTGGCTTATCAAAGCGCCTGACTTTCGCTTTTCTCAGGTCGAGTGGGCTGAAGTCGGAAACTGAGGGGTTCATCATGGCTTGCCAGGATGGTGTCTTCAACACCTTAGTCTACCGCAGTCGCGTGATGGGTATAGAGGTTCCTGACACAAG